GTGGAAAGTGTAGTTCCTGGATGAAACCTGAGTAGTCTGGGGAGAACGTGCCAGTCCTGCTCACATTTAGCAGGGGTGGCATTAGAACCTGGGAGTATGGTTCTATATACTATATAGAAATTAATTTTATTGAATAATTCAGCTGCTTTATTGGTCATGGAAACATTTGAGGATTATTAAATATGAATATAGGATGTATGTTTTTAATAATGGTAGAAAATATGATGTACGGTATTAGAAAGTACATTCAAACAATAACTTGTGGCTTTGTCTTAAGCACTTAAGTCTAAATTGTCACTGTAATATTATTCTGACATTCTGTAAAAATGCATTATTGTAGAACTGTGAGCCACTTAAATGGTACCAAATATTGTTCACTAAGCTGCTAGGTACAGTAACGATATAACTGATGACACTTTAATATCTATCTATCTATTACCTACTTTGTAGCTTTTTGTGTTGCATTGTTCTTTGCTACATTTACAATCGGAATGAGCAAACAGTAGGGTTATTTTTATGATGCATTGCTTACTAGCTCTGTTCTCTAAGTGTAGCTCCTTAGTTCCTCTGTACATGCCAGAGACCTAAGACAGGGTTTGGGTTACTCCGACCAAACACTACTAATAATTACTATTAAGCATTTATTTATGCTAAATACTACCAAAGGAATAGAATAACTATAGCATTAGAAACATTTTCTAATAATCCACTACTTGACTCATACTGAAGAACTACTGTCATGGATGCGTGTATCATTAATTCATAGCTTATAACATATTATCATGATAAAATTAACAATTTTGTTAGGGTAGGATTTTCAGAGTTATGAGCTTCAGGGGTTGCATTAAGGACAGGATCAATGCAAATAAATATGTAAATACTTAAATAAACATCCATCCATCCTCAGGAGTGTAGTTAGGGCAACAACAGGGACATTTTAAGTTCTAACAGGGATTTAAATTAATTATACCTAATGTACAATATAAGGCTTATTGAAAAATTGTTCTGCTTCTCCTTTTCTGATTTTGTTTCAAATTTTTGTTCACCTGGCTGGCGATCACAAATATTTGTCATCATAAAAAGATGAAATATATCGATTTTAGCTTATTTGTGCATTTCCTTAAGCCTTACATGTGTGCTGTAGGTGGATGCTGATATGCTCATTGCAATGTGGAGCCAAAGTTCATGTTCATTGGCATTGCATCATTTTCAAGTAATTCCTCGCAGTAGAACATGAAATTTTTATGGAGAAAGTACTTATGGCTTAATGGTGAGGTCCTGCAGTGACTCATTCTGGGGGGGAAATGAGACCGTTACAGTGCTGATCCAGCCTCATTACCAGCCATCACACTTCTGGTACCAGTATGTAACAACCCCATATTATACTAGAGGGTTCTGGCAGAACAATTATCATCAGTCATAATTCTTTTCTTCTTTTTTGGTTTTCTTGTTTTAATTGCCAATCTCTTAATAGACTCTTCAGAGCCATCTACTTCCTTTGTGTGTAATTATGAATCAGTGTTGTCTTAATTTCCTGTGTATTTATTTATTTGCTAGTGAAAATGCATTGAGGAATGATATTTAACAATGGGGATGCTTTTGGATGCCATTCTGTTTTATCCCACATATTCCACAATTCACTTCCTTCCCTGCTAAATTCCAGATGCAAGGGACTGAGTTAGGATTTACGTATGAGTGCCTCACCATGGAGCCCTGCACCTTGTCTAATTCGCTGTGGTGTCGGCGGTTAGCTCCTGATTACTACAGAGGTAATTGGATAAGCGGGTGGGGGTTGGAGGACTGCATCAACGCATTGGTGATTTGATTAATGTGGCTTTTTATTTGTTTCTGGATCAACAGTTTTGTTTTTTTCCATGTGGGAAAATAAAGAAACATTTCTTGATAAACGTACAGGTACCGTAGTGAATTATTAAGACGGAGATTATGCCTGCTGCTTGGCAATAATATGATGAAATGGAGAGAGCCATACCGTGCAAAGCTTCAGCAGGCAAGCGTGGCCCCGGCGTCGTCGCTGCATGGCGGCGGACACTAAGGGTCTTCATGGTGACAGTTTTAATCAAGGAGAGCCGAGCTTGTTACTGTGCCGTTTAGCTATTTGCACCTAGTCCAGTGTTTCTGAAAACGTGCAGCATTAATCACCTTGAGACTGTTTTGTGAGCTATAGAACGGTTCTTTTCCTCAGTATATCCGTGTTTGCATTTCTTATGTCTCAAAGCGAAGGTGAGAGTTACCCCATAGATTTACAAAGCAAGCACCTGGCCAGCTGGGGCACTGCTAAGGATTTTTGAAGGCAACTGATAACAATGTATCTGCATTATCTCCTTTAGAAACCTGCCGACAAGTCATGAATATCAGGTTATGAATATAATAGCCCCGGGTGGAGGGTAAGGAGGAAAAAAAATCAGCCGTCCAGAAAAACAACAATATAATGCACAATGCAACAATATAATGCATACTGAACTGATTGTCCATTGTTTGTCATACTTTATATATGAGTGATTAATAGCATTGAATGATTGAATACTTTTTTGAGAAAAATGTGCTAGGTGATTAGCTTGAAAGCATAATCTGCTCATTTGGTGTCATTTGTTTTTTAAAGAATGCCTTATAACTAAAATTCATAGAATTATATTGCAATGGAAGCACAAGTAATTTCATGTGCACATCAATAGTGTAAGTTCAGTAATGAAAACTCAAAATGCTACAGAACAATTTGTGCTAAATCAATGTCTGACTATGTATGAATAAGCTTTCAGCCAACTATAAATACAGGTAGTCAATACTGTGACCTTCAGTCAATTGATGATTATTTTGATGGTTAAATAAAGTTTAAAACCTCCTCAGACCTGAAAGGCCTATCGTAAGACCAGTACTTGCTCACAGGTACACGAAACCCATTTATTATTTGAAATGCCGGGTGTCATTCTGGATTAAACACCTTCTTTATGCGTATATAATTTCAGAAGTATGTAGAGGAAAGTAATGTATAGAGATAATAGAAGAAATGCCACATGAATAACATCATAAATATGACATTCTGCTTGTAAAACATTTTTTCCACATTTTACCTAATATGTTAGAAATTTTTAAAATAAGTTCTCATTTATTCATCTGTGTTGAAGTTCCAACAGGATGTGCAGACTTGGGTGCATTGCCTAATTGTTTTTCCCTGAATTTCTTAATCGGTATCTCCTCTACCTTTGTAATGCACAATTACCGTCAGACTGACCATGATGGGGGTTGTCATGGCGATACCTGAGGGCGCAGTGCCATTCCCCCTGCTGAGAGCCCATCATCAGGCCCAGAATTCTGCATTATTCTCAGCTGGATGTGGGCTCTCTGCTCCTCTGGGTTTCCCCACTGAGTTGTTGTGCTCTTAATGGCATTTTTTTTCTAATGAATTGCAGACATGGCTTGAAGTTTTGCCTCTGCTTGCATTGATGAATGCTGCATTGCCACTGCTGTGTAGGTGTCATCACTTTCCAGAAGAGCTCAGGACGTTCAAAGAAACTAAAAGACCCAGCCTATCTTTACCTTTCTCTGTGTGCATTTGTGCAATTACACACAGACGCACATTGGATTTATCAGTAATTGGCTCAAGACATAGCCTTTCCTCTACTATACATCTCTCCAAAAGCTGAGATTTGGCTATGAACCACAGGACCTTTTATCTTTTTGTTTTTTTGTGCAAATAAACACTTCAGTGTGTTTGCCAACACAGCGAAGAGTCATCCACAACGCGCTGAAGGGCCATTAGGTGACAGAGTACCTTCTGCCCTTATTTTCTAAGTGACTGGTTCAATTTTCAGCTCAGAGAAGCTGCAAATAAACCAAATGTCCATCTGAAGTTCTGAATTTCACAGGCTTTAAATGCCATATGCATCGTTCAGCTAAAGGCTGCAATTAGAAAAAGATTCTGGGAAAGAAATTGCTCAGCTGGAATGTACATTTAATACTGAGTTCTAATGTGATTGCTAAAATAATAGGTATGCTTATGCAAAAAGCATTTGATATGTTTGTAAAAAAGACTCAACATGCAACAAATTTGATATTTAAAACAATGTACAGATAGTTAAATACAGAATACTGTAAATTGCTTGGATGGTCTTTTAAATTTATTTTATTAGTGTTTTTTTCACATATTACAGGGTAATTTTTTGTATGTTTCTAAATTAAATCAGGGTCTCTTTCCTACAGGACAGGTATTCTTCATCTCCATTCAGACCCCTTCTATGTTTCTAAGTTTAACCGCAACAAATCATGCATGGAGTGACAAGCACTCCATGAATTTCTGGAAGGTGCTTTTAACATCTCAAAGTTTTTTTTAACTCATTATTGAAAATGCTCTATTACTGTACTTGATATTTTAAATGAAAGTCGGCCTTTGTTCTGATGGACATCTTTGGAAAAATTAACATATGAAAAATATCTAACATATCTAACAGCAAATCGTGCCGGTATTTACAATGGAATAAATAAACAGAATGACTTCCTGTCGGAATTATTTGCCAATAAATGTAGTTAGTCATTAAAGCTTCAGCAAGAGTATTGTAAGGGTTGCCCTTCCTCTGGTTCCTGCTAGCTGTTCTTTCATACATCTCTGGCACTCACTCTGGGAACAGCACATTCTGCTGGAGGGATATGTGGGCTGGGCAAGGCCAGCCGAGCCGGGCTGGTGCTCCTGTCTGCAGGAGGTTTTTTTTATTATTATTTTTCTATATATATTTTTTATATAGTTCTTTTTTACCAGAATGGTGGGCTGCTGTTGATTTAATTATTTGGGATTTGTTGGGAGAGAGTATTGGAGACTATGAATTATATGCCAGAGGGGAATCCCTGGTCATTCTTCTCACCTTCTCTTTATGCTTTTATAGATGTTAGTAATCCATAAATTCTCCATGGATTATTTGGGGCCTTACCGTCCCATTTGTGGGAGGCTGACAGCGCTGGCACTCATCTGGCTCTTTCTGTTTCTGCAGAGATGTCGGGCACCGGTATCGAGGTCTCGCTCGTCCACTGGAAGCAGCGGTGGCTGGACAATGGCACGCTGTATTTCCACGTGTCCCTGAGCGGCGCCGAGCAGCTGGCCCAGGTCACGGAGCCCACGGAGCGCGAGCTGGCCCACGTCCTGCACGAGCACGCACACCTGCTGCACGTCTCTGTCATGGTGAGGTCACCTACCACCCAGCCTTTTGCCCTTTACTCACCTGTTTTAAATCCTTCCATCCCCTTTCGTATCTGAACCTTTACGTCGGCTTCACAAACAACAGCTGTGTCCCATACATATACTCATGTACTCATATGGTGTAAAACTTAATTACTGTCAGTCACTCTCTCGTATAATATCACATATATCACATATTATATGAATTATTAGGGCCCTAATATTTAGATAAATTAAATGAAACAGTTTTTATGCATATACATGAAATCACGTACAAGTCGTAGTCTTTTGGTCCATTTGTGTTATCACAGATGCACATTTGATATGAGCACAAATAGCATTTTTAGCAGGTATTAAAGCCTTATGAAGAAAGAAGGAACCATCTTAATCTGTGCTTGTCTTGGCAGCAGTCTGTGAGTTGTTCCAGCTGAGCTCTCAATGAATTATCCTAGCTTTTATATTTATTGATTTTTGTTTTCTGACTATAAAAATAATATGTTTATTTAAACAAATACTTAACAATTTTGCAGTCATACCGATTTATTGATAAACACATATGCAATTCATTCATTCAGTAGCTCAATCAAGGATACTTAATAAATAATGAAAATGAGCATACTCATTGTGCCTGTAGCATTGGAAATGAAGTTGCACTATGCGTTAGATGTGGAGGGTGCACGAGTAATTCATTTACTTATTTATGTAACTAGCAGAGGTATTAATGATGCAAAAATCTTAATGACACAAAAAGATCTAGCAACATATTCTCCTGGAGAGCTGTGGAGTGAATATTGAGTGTCTCCCTATAAAGCTTGTAATTTGTGTACTTTAATTAAAACTCGGCTTCATTGCTTATATTTTGGCACACACTTATGGTAGCATTTATTTGTGGCCTGTTACACACACTGCAAGAGGGCAAGCACATATGAATACGTATGACGATGTAAGAATTTTCTAATGCTAGCGTGTAATTAAGTAGATTGTTCCCAGTGAATTAAAATTCCTGCATTGGTTTGTAAATGGGAAATGTTTTACTCAGTGCTTCTCTAGCCAAAGGCCTTTTTTAACTGGCTTATTAAATATACATTTATTTTTACGTTAGAGACACATGTTACATACTGGGCCCTGAAGACAGAAGCTTGTCACATATCTTTCCTCCTCTCTCAATTTCCCATCCCTTGGGCTCCTCTAATGACTATTTAGAGAAGAAGTGGGGGAGGGGAGAAAGAACAACCCTGATAGCAGAGATATCCTCTGCTCCACCATATAAGTACTGTCCTTCTCTGCTAGTTTAATGACCCTGAACCCTACCCAAACTAAAACGACATCAGTGAAGTCATCATTGATGACATTAATATGCATGCTTCAAGCGTGAACTTAATGCCAAATGCTTTCCCAGCTGGCTGTGTGTTTCATTATAGGATCTTGAATATATATCCTAATCATTTAGCAGCATTTATGTTGAATCATATGCAATAATAACAATCAAAATGCAGTAACATAGGAAAGTAATAGGCATACTGTATAAGCTTGTAGGAATATATTTAATTACTAAACCTTTGTCCACGTTCATATTTGTGGAGAATATCACTGCAGTGTATGAGCAGATTTTAATTATTTGGATTATATTCACCAAAAAAAAAAAATGCATATTTAAGTCTTGCCATATTTCAGTTGTGGTAGTTAGGATGGAGCTCCAAGCAGCATTGGTTTGCTAACCAAAGGGGGCGAGAAGGAACATAGAGGCCTTTTGATGGAGATGGGTGCCTGTTCATTGATGGACTTGTGGGAATATCAGAAGTGCTGCTGCGTTTTGAAACTGCACAAAAAAAAGCTGATGGGCAAGCAAGCATGCAGACAATTGCATATTTAAAAATATGAATAAGATGTTTTTGCCCATCACTGATTATGCAGGCAATTGCAGTGGATTGGCTAAAACATCAATGAGAAATGTTTTCATAACACAAGTATCCCCCACTTTAGGAATGTTTGCTTTACACCTTGGCTTTTACGAAACACCTGCAATGGCACCCATTGTTGCTAATCAAAAAATTACTTAAAAATCCAGAAATACTTTTCACTTTTACAGAAAAATAAGAAAGGTGAAAATAGAGTTTCGTGTTTGCTCATCAGTGAGCCAATTATACAGTAGATATACAACCAAGGGCCTCATACAGTCTTGGTCAACGACGGACCTCATATACTGTATGGATGGTAGTCCATTAATATTACAGTGGTATTGCCTAGTGACGTTGTAGCCTTTGTAACGTTATAGCACAATGTGTTACTCACGCAGTTGTGGTGTTGCTGGAGTAAACAAACTACTGCATTGTCAGTCATATGAAAGTATAGCACATAGTTATTTACAGCACATAACACTCGATAATGATAATAAACAACTATGTTACTGTTATATGTGTTTATTAAACTGCATTTTTATCGTTATTTAAGCTATACCATATAGCCTAGGTGTATAGTGAGTGTAAGTATGATGTTCTCACAACAGTAAATTAACCAAACAACCCATTTCTCAGAACGTATCCCTGTCCTTAAGCGATGCTTGATGCATTGATTCTGGTAATTTAAACTATGCTGTATATGCATAGCTTCTACTTGATACAGGCTGTGCATTTATCATATCATTACTGCTTTTAGTACATGTTAGTGGTATATTAGGTATTATGTATTATTTGGGATGATTTGGTAGGTTAATTTTGTTGGTCTGGGAACGCTGAAAAAATATTTCCCTAATAAATTAACGGTAATTGCTTCTTTGATTTACACTATTTCGGCTTGCGGAAGGTTTCATAAGCACGCTCTACATTCAGATAGCTGGGGAAAAACTGTAAAAACATTTTGCAATAATTGTTATCATAAATTAGGATTGCAACAGTCATAAAGAATGAAGTAATTCATTAACAGTATACTAACCTTATAAAAGGTAAATAAAATATCTATAATGTATGTAGTTTTTGCTTTTAGCTGTAAAGAGATCCACAATGATGCTCAGACATCTAAACTAACACCCACAAGCTGTTAGCAAATAGGACTTCCACATGTTTTTATCTGCCTAGTGTCAGCAATCACTACTTCTGTGTCACAGTTGGCAATACAGTGCGCTTTCTGAGGATGATTACCTGCCATCCTGTCAAGGAAACACGTTTCCTTCTGTCCTAATCTTGCTGAAATAGACTCTGAATCACTGCTGTAAAAACCTAAATGCCAAAGCATGGAACAATAAATGACAAATTGTTTACTTACCAAGCAAGAGCAGTGCATGAGACTCTATGAACAACTGTGTCTTCTTCTCCATACCCTTCATCTGTCATAAGTCTTTGTAAAGAGCTCTGGGTAATTTCTTAAAGCGTGCCGTGGCTGTCATGACTGTCATGACATTAAAGGTCACTTGGTTAATGGAAGAATGGATCAGATGGTGATCATGGTAAGTTTTTAATTTATTTCCAATGTCAACTATTGCAAAGGTAGCTTAACTGAAAGTCAGCTGAAAAACTAGGGTCCAACTCACAGATGTAAATCACTGTACTTTACCAGGCTTCTTAGAGGGGTCTCAGACTGCACAACAATAAATTTTATACTTCTACTTCCAAGTGAGCAGTTTAGCCCACCGACAAGCATGACAGACAGGTAGGAGATGGACAGACAGGTAGAAGATGGACAGACAGACAGGTAGGGTTAGGGTTAGGGTTACGGTTACTGCTGGGCTTCACTGCCCCTTAGGTGTTTTTGCAGGATATATAATAACAGAAAATGGGGCGGATTTACACTGTACATTATGAAACAAAGATGTTTCACACTACCCATAAAGATTAATGATACAGTAAAATTATATGGTAGATTAGATATTGTTAAATCAAATTTAATCAGTTATGAAATGTTGTTGGTGTGCATACTGTGTATAAAGATCAATTAGTCAGAATGTAGCTAAATTCATGAATGAAGGCTTTGCCTGTTGTAGGGATCACGATGAGTAGCTTCATATTTTAAAGGTAGATGAACCATGAGTAAATGCCTTTAAATCTATGTTTACTTTTCCTTCCACTTTTATTTCTACTTCAAAAAACAACTTTATGTTCTGCTTTAAGGGCCTTAGGTTTGTTTTTGCTGTGCAAACAAGATAAAAACTAACTATAATCTGTGCAATACGTTACTGGGTGTGAAAAAAAATGAATTTGTCAAATATGTTAATTTGTTCTGCAGACAGTGCTGTTTGAGGGAAAATGAATTCAGTTTTGCTCACATTTTTTGGTTAGTGTACCAGTTCATCATGCTAGTAAAGCCAAATAAGTCATTAAGCAGGTGGAAAATCTGTCAGCTTTGCATGCAAATGCCACAGCATCTGACTGGCTTATGGAATTCAGTATAGATCTCTTTGTAGCTCATCTAGTGCTGTTTTCTGTTGTTACTATAAGCTCTTTAATTATATTCACGCAGAACAATAGTCTGTACACTCTTCACCATTTTGCATGAAGGTTTGACACTCATTCTAAATAGCTGAAAAATACTTTCATCTACTACCATTTCCCCTCTGTTTCAATTAAATATTATAGTCCAATAACACTTAGGCAATTGCAATAAAATGAAAGCCCTTGTCAGATAACAAATCACTATTGTTGAGGTTTATGTGTGGGGGAAATATGAGTAACATGCCCAGAGACAGAATGGATGCAATGGCAAGTTCATTTTCCAGATGAATAAACACTAAATATATACTGAATTAGAAGTAGGAGGGTTAAGCCTTTTTTTGTTTCAAGCTTTGAAAAAGATATATTTCTGCAAATGCATGCGGTCAACTAAAATGGCAAAGAATAGATGACAAATGACAAAAAGATCATGTGAAGTGGATAATAGTTCATGGAGAATTATAGACAGAATAGAACTATGTCTGTTCTAATTATAGGACAGAATAGAAGCCACTGAGATGTCAGTACAGTCAGTGCATTTACATGCACACTAAGAAAATCAAATTATTGTTTTAGTCCAAC